GTGCACGCTTGGTAAGGCCCACCCATGCCAAGGGCCCCGCCACCAAAGAGGAGCTGGGAAGTTAACCACCACTGACAGGCAGGCTCTGAGGGGCGTGCCCAGCCCAACTAGCCCCTAGCCCCACGCACACACAGCCTCCACCTGGCCAGTTCCTTGGGAGGGCCTTTGTTGTTGTCGTTGTTCAGTCGCACAGTCGAGTCCGACTCTCTGCGACCCCATGGACCAGATCACGCCAGGCCCTCCTGTCCTCCGCCGTCCCCTGAAGTTTACTCAGTCTCATGTTTGTTGCATCGATGACACTGTCCAACCATCTCATCCTTTGCCGTCCCCGTCTTCTTTGACCTTCAGTCTTTCCCAGCATCAGGGCCTTCTTCTCCAGTGAGTGCTCCCTTCTCATTTGGTGGCCAAAGTATTTGAGCTTCAGTTTCATTATCTGGCCTTCCAGGGAACAGTCAGGGTTGATTTCTTTTAGGATTGACTGATTTGATCTTCTTGCAGTCCAAGGGACTCTCAAGAGTCTTCTCCAGCACCATAGTTTAAAAGAATCTATTCTTCGGTGCTCGGCCTTCCTTATAGTCCAACTCTCGGAGCCATACATGACTACTGGGAACACCATTGCTTTGACCATGCGGACTTTTGTTGGCAGGGTGATGTCTCTACTTTTTATCATGCTGTTTAGGTTCGCCATCGCTTTCCTCCCAAGGATCAGGCGTCTTTTAATTTCATGGCTGCTGTCACAGTCTGCGGTGATCTGGGATCCCAGGAATGTGAAGTCTTTAATTTGCAGCAAAGGAGAAGGCCCGTCCGTTCATTCCCACAGAGGTTATTCTCATCTGGAAAAAGAAAAATGTCAGGCGTCTCCTCAAAAAACCGGGGTCCCCCATCCTCGCAGGAAGCAAGCCACTGCGTTTCTCGGCTGATTGCCGGTCCGGGTCACTTCTTGGCAGGGCTGTCGTTATTTTTCTCAGCAGGCCTTGTGTGCTTTTTGAGGACTGTGTGAGATACAGAAGTCCCAACAGGATTGTCTCCAGTGTGTAGAGGCAGTGATGGGACGGCCTCACCTGCTTGTTGGTTTTTCTCATGGTGCAGCCCTGGCCAATTCTCTTTGCCGGGGGCCATATTTTACAGCACTGATCCTGAGCCATTCAAACAAAAAGCCCTCTCCCCCCCTGACTGCTAGATGGACCCCCTCTTCCCAGCCCTTCTCTTCCCCAGCTTTCCGGCTCCTCCAGGGGGGAGCTCCACTTCTTCTTCTCGACTACAGAAGCATCTCTTTCTTCAACCATTTGACACCGCCCAGAATTCCCTTTGAAATATGACAACAAAGAGTCTCGTGGCCCTTTAACAAATTTAATATCAGTGGGAAGACGGTGTACTAAACATAGAAGAACTGGAAAACAGCCGTGCATTGCTGTGTGGTCCTAGCAAACTAAGGCGAAAGACCGTCATCGACAACTCTTTGGGGAGTCTCGGTGACTATTTTCTGTTGCAAAAAGAGTTGCAAAAAAAGGGATGCAGCCTGATCTTGCGCTGCCGGCCCTTCTGGCGTTCCTCGGTCATAGCGCTCCACTTGTGTTTCCCCTCCCACAGCAGTTTGCCGGCCTGCCCCCTTCTGTTGGCTGAGTCCTCTTTCGCTGCCCCACGGTTGCTTTGGCTGCTGCGCACACGCTCACAGGGGTCCCTGCCAGTTTGGTGTGGTGGTTTATTTATTTATTTGGATTTATATCCCGCCCTCCCCGAAGGCTCAGGGCGGCTAACACATAACGCCAGATTATAACAATAAAACAGTATAAAATACTAAAAATACAAGGTAAACACTTACATTGGATTCATAAAAAGACATTTTCGGTGCTCCCCTACTCACTTCCAAACCGTAAAACCAAGATGGTGTTCTCGATGGTATAGCTACACAACAACAGCAGTGCATATCCCCACTGCCCTGTCGTCCCCTAGGGACATCCCACTCCCTCCGATGGTACCCGCACCAGCGGTGGTAGTGTGCGGAGATTATAGGGCGTTGATGGCGGCGGCTCCTACTCGAAAGCCTGGTGGAAGAGCTCCGTCTTACAGGCCCTGCAGAACTGTACAAGGTCCCGCAGGGCCCGGATCTCCTCTGGGAGCTCGTTCCACCAGGAAGGAGCCGCCACCGAAAAAGCTCTGGCCCTGGTCATCGCAGGTTTGATGGTCTTGGGGCCTGGAACATCCAGGAGATTTTGGCTCCCCGACCGTAGTGCCCTTGGTGGAACATGCGGGGAAAGGCGGTCCCTTAGGTCCCTAAGTGTGCGGACTCTAATCTGGGAGAACTGGGTTTGATTCCCCACTCCTCCACTTGCACCTGGCTGGATGACCTTGGGCAAGCTGTAGTTCTGATAAGAGCTGTTCTTGAAAAAGAGCAGTCTCTGTCAAGAGCTCTCTCTGCCCTGCCTCCCTCACAGGGTGTCTGTTGTGGGGAGGGGAAGGGAAAGGAGCCAGTTTGGTGTCGTGGTGAAGGGCGCGGACTCTAATCTGGGAGAACCGGGTTTGATTCCCCACTCCTCCACTTGCACCTGGCTGGATGACCTTGGGCAAGCCGTTGTTCTGATAAGAGCTGTCCTTGAAAAAGAGCAGTTTCTGTCAAGAGCTCTCTCGGCCCCACCCACCTCACAGGGTGCCTGTTGTGGGGAGGGGAAGGGAAAGGAGTCTGTAAGCCGCTCTGAGACTCCCTTGGGTAGTGAAGGACCATACGGTATAAATCCAATCTCTTCTCTTCTCTAAATGATGTCACGTACCACACATCAGCACTTTGGGTCGTCATCAGCCCCAGGGTGCCCAGCCTGGCACCCGCGACATTAGACATTCCAGCACAAGAGTTCTCCCAGAGGGTGATTTCCTTTCTCCCTTTCTTGGTTAACCACCTTTGCCTGGAGGTTGTCAAACGTACAGTTCTTGGAAATGTTCTCTGTCGTGGCTCACTGCTCAGATCTTCTGTTTCTGTGTGTGCTTTCGAACTCGGTGCTTTCTCTGCCGCCCCAAGCCAGGCTTCTCCCACCTGGGCTGTTCACTGTATACTTTTTTCTTCGAAGAAGGTGAACACGTGCTCAGTGTCCCACGGAAGCATGGGAGAGATCACGGAGCCTCACCTTCAGGAACCAAAACCGGAGTCTTACCACCAGGAACAGCCACTAGATTTTGGAGGGCGGTGTACTTCCTTTCCCCCGCACACACACACAAAGCTGCCTCGTGCTGGATCAGACCCTCAGTCCGTTAAGGCCCCTTACGTCTACTCAGATGGTCGGCAGCTCTCTCGGGTCTCGGACTGAGGTCTTTCACATTGCCAGCTGCCCGGTCCTTTTTTTTTTTCTTCCCTCATTAACATTTTATTGGTAGGATTAAAACAATAAAACAAATATAACAATAAAAATATACATAAAGGTCATAAGAACAGTTATACATTCAAACCAACACACTAATTACAAAAAAAGTAAGCTTTAAAGAATGATACATTCTTCAATAAATCTTTGAACGAAGTAACTTATTTTAGCCTCAATTTGTAATTGATGCCTGTACTATTTGTTGCTTTAGATACAACCAAGTGTCTTCTGCCCTCAAGAATATCTGTAGACATTCAATGATATATCTAACCCTATTAAACACAAAGTACTATCCACAAATCGAGTATTTGAACCATAAAAAATCCTCACAACCATTTAACATTTTTGTCTGATAGAGCTTCTAAAATTAGCATCCATTTAGCTTCGAACCCAAAATGTACGACGTTCCTTTTATTTCTGTTAACTTTATCAGTGATGCTTTCCATAATGAACTGATTCCACAGCTTCTTGTACCAAGTTTGAATGTTAGGGGGGGGAGATATCTTTCCAGCAAGATGCTATAGATAGCCTAGCCGCATACAGCATTGTGTCCAACATGTCTCTATAGTGATGATGCCCGGTCCTTTTTAACTGGAGATGCTGCCGGGGACTGAACCTGGGACCTTCTGCGTGCCAAGCAGCGGCTCTTTCACGGCGCCACGGTCCCTCCCCACACGGACGCGCACTTTTCGTCTCCCTCCCTTAATAAAAAATAAACAGTAGAATGGCCGTTTTCCCCTGCAGCAGAAGTATTCCATTTTATTTATAAGCGCTCGGCCTTCCTTACAGTCCAACTCTCGCAGCCATACATGACTACTGGGAATACCATTGCTTTGACCATGCCGACTTTTGTTGGCAGGGTGATGTCTCTACTTTTTATCATGCTGTTTAGGTTCGCCATCGCTTTCCTCCCAAGGAGCAGGCATCTTTTAATTTCTTGGCTGCTGTCACAGTCTGCGGTGATCTGGGATCCCAGGAATGTGAAGTCTGTCACAACTTCCACGACTTCCCCTTCTATTTGCCAAGGAGTGATGGGGCCGGAGGCCATGATCTTCGTTTCAGTACATGATAGTTTCTATCACCGAGTCTGTGAATCTCAGAACTCAGCTGCAGGATACCATTTCTCCAGCCCTGTTTTTAGTTTGCAGGGTGTGTGTTTTTTTTTAAAGCCGTGCCTCCTTCCTGGATGAGTCAGTAGGGAGGCCAGTGTCCCATGGAGGAGAAAGTTGTCGCAGGAGGTGCACGATGGATGCCAACGGCCAACATAAGACAGCCCCTTCCCAGTCATGGCACGGATAACGGAGCAAGGCCTCCTTCAGCCCGAATCAGCAAGTAGCTCTGGCGTGGGTTTGCTCTGGGTAGTCTCAGACCACCGCTCTGTCTCCTTCTGCACGAGCTGCTCTCAGTTCTCCGTTTGGCTGCGTACACTTCTGGTCGGCTTTGGGTATCGCAGTGGTCCGCATGGTTTTAATTAGTGTTCCACTGTCTCTCTCTAGTTGCATGCTGTGATGGCAGAGTTATCTCTACTTGGCAAACTTTGATGAGGCCCGGTGTCAAGCCCTGCACATTCCTCACCCCTGAAAATATTTCAGGGAAAATGCTCACAGGTGGTGCTTGGGGGAGGGGGGGGCGCCACTTCATAGCCCTGCACCAGGGTAGCTTTTAAGACGCCCACATGTTCCTTGCCAGTACCTCTGTGGTGCTCTGCAGACCGGGGCACAAAGTGGCTCGTGGATTAGTAAATGCAGCCATTTAGGGTCAGACCTCAGATTTCTCGTGTAGTGCTTAAATGCCGCTACACGAACGGGTTGTTCTCGTCTTCCTCCTCTAAAACTCCCGGCGGATTCGGCAACGTTGTAAATTGTGTGGCCCTCCTGGGAAAAAAAGTCAAGACTCATCAATGTTTCGCCAGTGTTTGGGAATGGTCGGTGTCGGGTGCTCTTTGATTTGCAGCGACTGTCACGTCTTGACGGACACCTCCTTCCCGTGTTTCCAGAGCCGGTGCCAGAGACTCTGGTGGCGGACAAAGTAAATCACGCCCCTGTCCAAGGAAAACCCAGCCAGGATCATTCTCAGAGTAAGAAGCAAGCCATGGAGGAGCTGAAGAGTTCGCATCACGAGTTTGACTCCTCGGTGGATGACGTGGGCATTCCGCTGCGGGTAAGACCAGCAGGCACATCCGCATGTCGCTCCATTTTCCAGTTGCGTTTTGGTCAGCTTCACCTCCTAAAAGTTAGGTAATTTGTTTCGGTCATGATTACACTGGACATCTTTGGGACAGGAGAACAAATTTAGAGTCCAGTGGCACTTTTAAGACCAACAAAGGTTTATTCAAGGGATTTTAATAAATGATCACACTTATAGAAATAGCAGGCTAATCCTCTGGGCCTCGAACACACACACACACACACAGAGCGAAGCTAGCCAGAACCCGAGACGAGATACACATGGCTAAAACGAAACATCTCATATCCTAATTGCTGGCTACAAGTCAAGAACGTCACCATCCAAGTGACAGCCCTAAACACTGAGAGGATCTTGCCCCTGGCACCTCGTAGCTGAGAAAATCAAGTCAGCTTTCTTAGATAAGAACTCAGGAAAGTACTAATGAAAACAGGCAGCAATATTCTCTGGGAAGGGGGCTGCTGGCCATCCTTCCAGGCAACCAGAGGCCAGGCATTAGCAGAAAAAGCAAAATGGAGTTTCAGAGGCTATACAACCGTGTTCCAGGAAAGTGGGCAAGGGTGTGGTTAGCCGGTAATACATACCTTGAAGCTGCCACTGCAGAAGGACCTGGAGGGCAGGTAAGGTGTGAGCCTTCCTGAGACGTGGACCTCATGACCAGGGATGGAAGCGAAGGGCCTGTCCTCTCCAACAACCTCCCACCATTCTCTGTGGTCTCTGCGATCTCACCTGGGGGGCTGCCAGAAGGAAGAGCAAACTGGCCACGGAGAAGAGAGAGTAAAACCGTGGCAGCCCACAAAAAAAAATAGCAAGTTGGGTCTGGTGGCGATTTTACTCCCTCTTTCTCCACAGCCAGCTTGCTTTCCTCTGGATGTTTTGGCCACCTCACCCCGTGGCCTGGGCCGCTCCGCCTCACGCGGTGGAGGGAGTGGTGCACCGGGCATCAAGCCATTACATCGCCTTTTTGTTTGAAGGTAATCGTGAATGTGGATCTCTGCAATCCACGTTGTGGGTACCACTGCTGCAGGCAGTTTCAAAACGATGGGTGGCATGTCTTCATGGGCTGTGCACACAACACATAAGAACATAAGAGACGCCAATGTTGGATCAGGCCAAAGGCCCCTCCAGTCCAACACTCTGTGTCACACAGTGGCCAAAAATACCAGGTGCCACCAGGAGGTCCAGCAGTGGGACCAGGACACTAGGAGCCCTCCCACTGTTGACCCCCCCCAAGCACCAAGAAGACAGAGCATCACTTGCCCCAGACCAAGAGCTCCTGTCTATACCTTGTGGCTAATAGCCACTGATGGACCTCTGCTCCATATGCTTATCCAATTCCCTCTTGAAGCCATCCATGCTTGTAGCCGCCACCACTTCCTGTGGCAGTGAATTCCATGTGTAAATCACTCTTTGGGTGAAGAAGGACTTCCTCTTATCCGTTCTAACCTGACTGCTCAGCAATTTCATGGAGTGCCCACGAGTTCTTGTATTGTGAGAAAGGGAGAAAAGTACCTCTTTCTCTACCTGCTCTATCCCATGCATAATCTTATAAACCTCGATAACGTCACCCCTCAGTCGTCGTTTCTCCAAGCTAAAGAGCCCCAAGCGCCTTAACCTTTCCTCATAGGGAAAGTGTTCCAACCCTTTTATCATTCGAGTTGCCCCTTTCTGCCCTTTTTCCAAAGCTATAATGTCCTTTTTAAGGTGTGGTGACCAGAACTGCACACAGTATTCCAAATGAGGAAAGGTAGCTGCTTTATACTGAATTGAACCATTGGTCCGTCAAGGTCAGCATTGTCTACTCAGACTGGCAGTGGCTCTCCAGGGTCTCAGGCGGAGGTCTTTCATATCACCTACTACCTCATCCTTTCAACTGGAGGTGCCAGGGATTGAATCGGGACCTTCTGTATGCCGGGCAGATGCGCTACCACTAAACTATGGTCCCCTCCTCTAGTTGTTGTTTGCTTTGGAGTTTGGCTCCTTCTCCTTGGGATAAAGTTTCTGCCCTGAATTTATATCTGAATTATAAGCTGAATTTCTACATGATTCCACGGCAGAAGTCTCTGAGGCTGTGGTCACACACACTAAACAATCCACTTTCAGTTCATTTTCATGCAGTTTCCAACTGGATTTTATCCGTTCACACCATAAAACCCAGATGGAAAGTGGATTGAAAGTGCATTATTTAGTGTGCATGACCACAGCCTAAGTGGTTTGCCGTAAGATGCGGACTAAAACAGAGCGAGAAATAAAAGCAACAAAGCACCATAAATATTGAGGATTAAAAAATGCAAGACAAAAGTCTCCCGCTAAAAAACCTAATTCCGCTAAATGCTCTTGGAAATTCAAAAAGGAGGAAAGGAAGGAGGGAGGATGCCAAGTGGGATTCCCTGGGCAGGAAGTTCTGTCTCTGGAGGGGGGCAACCGCTGAGCAGGCCCAGGGCTTTCAGCTGCCTGAGGAACACCTCTGCTGTGAGGAAGGTGGCGCACGGGCCTCTTGGCTGGCATGGTACCACCTTTATAAAAGTAAAGGTAAAGGTTCCCTTGCTCGAAAGCCAGTCGAGTCCGACTCCAAGGTTGCGGTGCTCATCTCCATTTCAAAGCCGAAGAGCCAGCGCTGTCCAAAGACGTTTCCGTGGTCATGTGGCCGGCATGACTAAACACCAAGGCGCACGGAACACTGTTACCTTCCCACCGAAGTGGTCCCTATTTATTGACTTGCAATTTCTTGCTTTCGAACTGCTAGGTTGGCAGGAGCTGGAACTGGAGACGGGAGCTCACTCCGTCATGCGGCACACTCGGGTCTCGAACTGCCGAACTACCGACCTTCCACAGCCTGCAGTTCAGCGTCTTAACCACTCGAGCCACCTTTATTTATCATTAAACTCAGGGCTATTTTTGGGCAGGAACGCACAGGAACGGAGTTCCGGCTGGCTCCCAAGTTGGCCACGCCCAGCAGAAACTCATTAGGATTGGCTACATTAGGGGTGTGTGGCCTAACATGCAAAGGAGTTCCTGCTACAAAAAAACCCCTGGGTTTTGACAACAAAGAAGGTAAACAGAATAAGAAGCAAAAGGTGGGTGTGGCTGGATGACCACACTTCTCGTAACATGGGGATGCGGCCTAATGTGCTAATGAGCTGTGCTGTCAGGGGTGTGGCCCAATATGCTAATGAGTTTCTGCTGTTGGGTGTGGCCTATTATGCTAATGAGTTCCTGCTGGGCTTTTTCTACAAAAAGAGCCCTGATAAACTTAACTTCTCTGAGGCTGGAACACCGAAACGAATCTAGTTCCTGATCCTAATTTCCATGTCAGGTATCTTCCAGCAGCTCCAGAGGAGTTCTGTAGGCCCGTCAGAGGAGAGTTGAGACCTTTTCCCTCTGTGACATGTTAACATGTGTTCTTAGGGTAATCTTACAATATTTTCTCGAATGGCAGATTGAATTCACACCGGTATTTTTGTTTTCTTCTCTTTTTTTTCCAAATTAGAATACAGACCGATCAAAGGACTGGTATAAGACTATGTTCAAACAGATCCACAGACTGACCAGAGGTAGTATTAATTTGCCTCCTTTTGTGTGTGTGTGTGTGTGTGTGTGTGTGTGTGTGTGTGTGTGTGTGTCGGTGGGCTTAGACAAGTGTAACTCTGCTTCGGATCGTTCTGTGAGTCTGGAAGACCTCAGCCGACGTCGAAAACTTGGCGGAACATCCCGTGATGGCCCGGGTTGACACAGACCAGGTATCTGTTCGCCTGGTTCAGGAGGACCCACCTGGACATCATGTTTTCTCTAGTGCTCGGCCGACTGCACATACCCGTAAAGTCCCTTGTGCTCCCTCTTGCAGCCCTGGGCTCCTGAAGGAGTGTTCCCTGTTTGTTGCGGGCACGTCTTGGTTTTACGGGGATGGGGGGAGTTGTTTCTTCCCCAGTCCTCTCTGGCCTTGTGCCTGGATGAATGAGATCGTTTCCGCAGACAGAGACTAAAGGTCTTGAGCATTCCTGTTCCGGCTGGACCTAAAAGAGGAGGAGGAACTGGGACCCCCGCCCTCCTCCTTCCATGCTGTTGATTCTGCCCTTTCCAAAGTTTTATTTGTCTCCCACTACTTTGCATTCCTCCTTCCCCTGTACATTGATGGCAACATGAGGGTAGTTGGAGGTGAAGGCAAGAAGGTGAGGCACGACCTCCGCCGAGGACATGTGTCCAGCGCAAGCTGTGCTAAGCCAACGCTCTCTAGGTGTGAGTCAACCACAACTACTGAGGAGAGCTTAAATCATCCTTAGTTAACTTCGCACGCATTCAGAAGATCATTTACTCACAATCGACCAGATAGCTGGGTGGAAAGTTACATCTTGCGATCTAGGTCAGTTCTATAGCCGCGGTGAGAAAAGAGATGGGCTTCCCCTCTCCTTGCAGTAAGGGTTGATGGACAAAGAAACGGAAAAGAACAATAGAACTCCTATCTTTGCGCCTCTGAGCTCAGGAAATTACTCTTAATGAGCCAGTCAGAGGGAAGCTTCTGGGACCCCTAACTGTGGACTCCAATTCCCGGGTGCAACAAGTCTTCAAGATACAGAGCAGTTTTACTAAACTACAGATAACGCTGACTGGGGGCAGCACAGTCACCATAGGGGGGGGGGAGAGAAGGGGATGCTGTGGGCCTGCCGCATTTGACCCCGTAAAGCACTGCACACGCTCGTGGCTTGCATTTTCCCCTGGGGAATCACCTTGTTAACATGCAGCTCTCGGCGTGCGGGTAGGAGGGACTTCCTGCCGGCCTGTCCATCTGTCCCTTTACATCTTTGCTCTCTGTTCTTTCCCCTCCCGGCGTGCCTTTTCTGCACAGACCCTCCAGAGGAAAACCCTTATTGCCCTACCTACAAATTCCCCGAACTTCCTGATACCCAGCCAAAGCCTGAAGGTACCACATGCTTAGCCAGAGTCTCTGTCGCTTTGTGTTTGGTTTAACCCTCCTCCTCTTCGTTAAACTAGAGTGTGCTTAGTAGTGAAGCTGCCCGCTCCTTTTGGCATGGTTGGATACTGAGTGGCATCCGGTGCGCGCCTCCTTGTATGATGTGTGAAGAGAGAGACGGAGCGTGTGTCTTTCCTAACTAAACCATTAATCTCTCTCGAGAGTATTGCATAATGTGTTGTTATTCTGACCAAAGCAGGCCGTAAAACTGAACTGTGCTAGGACGTTTGGGAAGGGGATGTGTCTCCACCAGTTTAGTGTGGCCACTATCCAACCCCACTGCTTTTCTCTGCTGCAGAAGAAAATCCTTACGCTCCTACCTACCAGTTTCCTGTGTCTACTCCTAGCCCTAAATCTGAAGGTAATTAGTCCAGGTTGATCCCGCTTTCCTGTTTGCACAAAGGCTGCTTCTTTCCTCTCCCGTTTTCCAGCTGCGGTTTTCTCCTCTTTGCTTTCCTCCTAATGACTTCCGCTGCCTGTTAACTGTGGCCTTGACCGCTAGGCGACTGCCTCGGCTTCGTTGAAGTGCTCTTTCCGCTTCCTTAGCCGCCTCCTGACTAATGCTTTGGGGCCTGGAACTGCTCGGCTTTGTGTGCTTAATCCAAGGTACCAAGCCGGAGACCGGCGGCGGTGGTGACTTGCGCGCGGAGAGCCCAATCCACCAAGCTTCGGCCTGCGTTGAATGGAACGGGACCCGTCCTCCCTCAGCGGACTGGAAGGCATCCTCGTCTGAGTTGCGCCTCCCCCTTGCCCTGTGGACAGGACATGCACAGATTTTTTGTTTGCAGAGGCTTCCACTATCCTGGGGAGGCGCTGGACCAGAGGGGTTCCTTATCCTGTCGGTCAGACCTGTTGTGTCTCCAGCTAAAGGTCTCCGGAGAGAAGTCAGCCTTCCTCTGTGGTCGCTGCACTAGAGATGGATCCATGTTCGTCAGAAGCTTGGCAAGCAGGGTTGCCGGGTCTTCCCTGAGTCCCGGTGGGGGGCTCCAGCTCGGCTTCTGAGGGTCTTCTGAGAGCCACTTTGGTGTCGTGGTTAAGTGCACTGACTCTAATCTGGGAGAACTGGGTTTGATTCCGCACTCCTCCACTCGCACCTGGCTGACCTTGAGCAAGCTGTAGTTCTGATAAGAGCTGTCCTTGAAAAAGAGCAGTTTCTGTCAGAGCTCTCTCAGCCCCACCGACCTCACAGGGTGTCTCTTGTGGGGAGGGGAAGGGGGAGGAGTTTGTAAGCCGCTCTGAGACACCTTTGGGTAGTGAAGGGCCATGGGGTATAAATCCAATCTCTTCTTCTTCTTCTTCTTCTGGCATACACGCTTTCCATGCGCACTGCAATGACATCACCTGGAAGTGACTCCACTGCATGGGGCATGTCATTCAGGGGACATTCTAGCATTTGGGTAAAAAAACTCTATGGTCACCATAGAGCTTTTACCCAAATGCTAGAGCGTCCCCCGCACAATGTGCCCGGTGCGATGACGTCCCCTTTGGGTGATGTCATTGTGCCGGGCATGTCAGGTGTGATGTGGTTCTTTTGGGGGTGGGGCTCCCCCTGCTGGCCAGTTGGCCGACGGCGGATTAGGGGCCCCCAAAGCGGGGGGGAACCCACCGCCCCCCACCCCCATCAGGGAGATGGCAATACCATTGGCAAGACATGAAATCGGGGGATGGGGGTGGGGTCGAACGCCTCCTCATCTGTATTTGCCCTGCCCAGCAAGAGGAGGCACACACCATACAGGGACACCTTCCAATCCGCTGGTGAGAAGAAACCCCCACAGAAGTCCAATGTTTTGTTCTCTTTCTCAACCCCGCCCCCCCATTCATTTCAGTGGAGCACTCCTGGTGGATTGGGCCCGTGATGCTGATTTACCCGATCGTTTTTAAAGACAGCATTTAACCAAGTGTGCCTTTTCAAAATTTGTCTTGCATTTCCTCCCCCCAGGCTCCATTGACTGCTTTGTTAATGTTGTCCTAGAACAAGAGCATAATTGAAAGGAGAGAACCTGTCTGGATTTCGGGTCGGGGCCCTTAGTGACATTTCTGACTGCATTCTCAGACCTGAAGAGCCTCCTCAAACCACTGGAGTCTTAGAGTTGCTCTCCTCGGTATCCTGTACTTCGGTCCTGGGTGAACAGCTGAGAGCGTTCCCCCCCCCCCCCAATTTTTTAAAAAATTGAAAGCAGGGGTCATTTTGTAGAAAGAGAGGTGCAGGAGCTCATTAGCATAACTCATTAGCATAACTTATTTGCATATGCCACGCCCCCTGACATCACCGGAAGTGTGTCAGAAGGCAAGAAGAAGAAGAAGAAGAGATTGGATTTTTACCCCGCCCTTCACTTGGAGTCTCAGAATGGTTTACAAACTCCTTTCCCTTCCCCTCCCCACAACAGACACCCCGTGAGGTGGGTGGGGCTGAGAGAACTCTGACACAAACTGCTCTTTTTCAAGGACAGCTGTGCCAGAGCTTGTGACTGACCCAAGGTCACATCAGCAGGTGCAAGTGGAGGAGTGGGGAATCAAACCCGGTTCTCCCAGATTAGAGTCCGCACACTTAACCACTACACCAAACTGGCTCTCTCAACACCCACCGCTCAGGCTCCACTTGACTGTTTTGGATTGCTAGCTATTGGGGGGGGGGAATGTGCAGATCTGCCCTCACAGAGGAGGGAGAGCTTGTACCTGAATAAAACTTGGTCTTAAAGGTGCCACTGAACTGTTTTGAGTCGGGGAGGCTCTACAGCTTACCTGGTTGCTTCTTGCTCTGACTGAGGGCTGCTGGGAGCAGGGGGCGAGGCTTGTTGCATGTGCCCGCCCCCTGGGCTCTTTACTGCCGGAGCGCCGCTCCTGTGGGCTCCTGCAGGAAATGAACCCTGATTGAAAGTAATCATCACTCCAGCATTTGAAGCAAGGAGATTGTTCTCTCTCTCTCTGCGTCCGCGGGGCCAAATGGTCTTCCGTGCTCGCCTTAGCTCCTCTGCCTTCGGCTGCATCCCGCCTGTTAAAACCACTGGGTGCAAGAAGGAAGGTAGTTCCGCGGGAGAGTTTTGCCTGCGTGGAGGGGTATTGCAGAGTCTGAAAGGCTCTTGCGTCTAACAAGGTCTCAGAAAGGCCTCAGGAAGCCGCTGTCAAAAGGCCAGGGTCAGATTCTGAGCCAGTAGGAGGCCCCCGGTGTGGAGATTTGAGGTCCTGAGATGAAATAGGATCGATGTACTTCAGAGCCTCAGCTGGTAACTCCGACTGCCTGTCTACACCAGCCGATCGCAGCGGAATGGGGATTTGCTGGGCTGCGTTGCATCCGTGGTGCTGGGACGGAATTGCCTTTAGCAGAGCCAGGGTGCCATGCGGGTGCTGCTGCGTGGGCGGGCCTCGCTGTGCCGTTTGCCGTGGCCGTTTGCCGCATCGTGGCCTCTGAGAGAGCTCCCGTGCCGGAGGGGGGGAGACTTGCTTAGCGGCAGCATCGTTGGAGGCATTCCTTTGACTGGCCTCACAACAGTGGCAGCAGCTATTGCCACGAATGAGCCGCACGGGGTCGATGTGGCCCAGGAACCAAAGTCAAGGGGCTGCCATCGTCGCTGCTCCAGCAGCAAAGCGCCACGTAGTCTAGTCTGCCGTTCCCCTCCGCCGCCACCTGTGCTTTCTGCGGCCGCGTCTTTTGCCGTCGTCCCAGAAGGAGCTTCTGAGTTTGCAGAGGGAGGCCGAGTGTAAGGCAGCAAGAGTCTTGGGCCGGGGACTGGGGCAAGTGGGGGGGGACACGGGCACTGGGTGTGAAACGGTAGCACAGGGGCCTTCCAGCTTCCCCTGACCATGGTGCTGCCGCAGTCAGGGGATGTGCGGGACTCGTCATGTTCCCCCTGGCTTCATTCAGCCCGGGCTTCGGGCTCCTCGGGTTGCCGGCCGAGGGGCTCACAGGCTGGCTCCCGGCCTCTCCGCCTCTCTTCTTGTGCGCTGGGCCCGCCTGCTTGCCTCCAGCCCGCCTGCTCCGGCACACGAGGCTCTTCTTCCCGAGCGAAGGCCGCACTCTCCAGTTTACTCCAAACTATTCCTGCGATGCCTGAAGTGTCGTTGAAGGACTGCAAAAGGCTCTCGGGGCATGCAGAAGGGAATCCCAGTTCCTCCCGGAGAGGCAGCGGGTGCTGGGCTGTGACAGTGGACATCATCCACCACAGAGGGGCTGGTGGTCAGCCTCCCCCCCAGTTAGTTCCAGCCAAGGAAAGAGGCCTGGATCTTTGCAGGGAGGAAGGAGTTCCGAGATCAGTCGGCCACAGCCAGCACGCCTTGCCTAGAGGTGTACTTTGGAGGGGTGTGTGTGTCTATGTTTTCTTTAAAAATAAATATGTACAGAAGTAAACACTAAACCGTGCAGGCCTGGGGGGGGAGGAAGGTTCCCATTGCGTCTTTCCTGTGCCTCGGGCTGCTGTGAAAGGCAGAGGAGAAGGGCCATTTTGGAAGGTGTGAGCTGGACGCTGGCACCCGTCTTCCAACCGAGGGCGTCCCCAGATACGAATGGCGTGTGGGTGAGCCAGGGACCCAAGGAATGCGCACTGGAGCAAAGGCGTTCGTGTGTCTCTGCCAGCCACCCGTCGGAGATCTCACCCGGCTGGATTCCAGCAAGCCTGTTTGAAACTCCGTGAGCAGAACAGGTGCTTGGGGTGTGCTTTGGAGGCGGCTGGTGGGCGCAGTATAGTCACGACGCGCGAAAGCATTTCGTGACCTAACTCACAGCTGACATATGGAGGTTGACCACCACAAACTGTGGCAGTGGATAACTGTCATAAGTTTAAGGTGGCTTTCCAGTCGGTAGAGGATAGGTCTGTCGACAGCTATTAGTAGTTCATTCGCGCCTCCGTGCTTAGAGGCAGCGCAGGGTCCCAATTCTGGACTTCCTGGGTGCCTCCAGTCGAAGGCTGAGCCTTTGGTCCAGCCCATTAATGCAATTCGTAGGTTGCTTATGATCCGGTGTGGTTACAAGTAACAAAGGAACGCCATGCGCAGAAAGTTTACTGCATACCACTTGTTAGAATTTACTGTCATGTAGCCTATGAGATTCCAGCCATATGAATTTTACGAACAGTTACTCAAAGGTGTAGGTTTCCAGTTATTCAAAGGTACGGGGTTTCACAAGGAAGGAACAATGAATGGTTAGCACCTGTTCCAAAGTTTGTAAAAGCAGCCAAAAAAGTTTTACAAACTTCGGAATAGATGTTAACCATTCATTGTTCCTTCCTTGCAAAGCCCCGTATCTTTTTTTTTTTTTTTAATTTTATTAGTCTATAGTACAATAAACAACAATGGGATTTGGTATAAATATGACCAACGCAACATTAGATGTAATGAAACACTGCAACATACTGAGAAGGAACAGCAAATTTAGAAGTGTCATTATTGAAGACATATTCTAAAAAAGGAGACCATTTCGTGCATAAAGTAGATTTTGAACATGAACTATTAGTAAAGGAAGCCACTGCATCAGAGAGTTTGTCCATGATGTAAAAGTCCCAGATTTTTAAGCGCCAGGAGGAAAGAAGAAGTTTGTCGGTGGATTTCCAGCTACTCGCAATAACCACCTTAGCAGCTATTAGCAGAGTCGAAATAAGGTCTTGGCTACATTTGGGTATATGGGGGGCATTCCATAAATCAAGTAATATTAGTTCAGGGCCCCGTATCTTTGAATAACTGGAAACCTACACCTTTGAGTAACTGTTCGTAAAATTCATATTGCCAGAAACTCATAGGCTGCATGATAGTGAATTCTAGTATGCAGTAAACTTTTTGTGCATGCCGTTCCTTTGTTGCTTATCATCTTTCCACACCACGTGTTCCCCGGTTTTGCTTTGTGGTCTGGTGTGGGGCAGTGATGGGCAAGGAGAGGATGAAGTGTTCCTCCTTCTCCACCCTGCATGGATCTTGCCCCCCGGCCACTCCCCAGCCCGGTTTTTTTGAGGCAAACCACACGTTTTCGGTTACATCCAAACCAGCAACTTAGTGATCTGTACTTGGCATCTGATCCGGAATGAGTCTGAAACCATCTCTTGATTGCAGTTTCCAGCTTGGGTTTGAGCTTGTCCTCCAAGCCGTAGTTAGCCGGTTTGCATTGGGTGGAAGCCCACGGTTTGCCTTGAAACGGGGAGGGAGGGGCGGGAATCACAGGACTGAGGAGCGGGGAGAGGGGACATGCCAACCTGAGGATTGTTTGGCCTTTATTCGTTTGCACCCTGCCCATTTTCCTCTCCCCCATTTTATCCTCACGACAGCCCCGTGAGGCAGGTTAAGATGAGAGCATGTGACTGGCCCCAGGTCACCCAGCGAGCTTCCGTGGCAGGAGTGGGGACTTGAACCTGGGTCTCCCGGATACTAGTCTGACATTCCCGACCACTGCCCCGCCCTGGCTCCCGCCAGTCTCCTGCCCTTGTCTCCTGCTACTAAGGGATGTGATCGCTGAAGGTGGTATCAGGATTGGCCCTAAGAATTACATAGGGACAGAAGGAAAAGCTCTTGGCCACGTTCTTTGCACAACAAGACACCCAAAGTGACTGCAAATTATTTTGTTTCTTTCAGATGAAGATTCTGATTCCTATTTTCCGCGTTACTCCTTTCACGAAGACAGTGAGTAGTCAGTGTCTGAGCACTCGAAAAACACTTTTTTAAATTGCTAAGGATTATGTAATTGTGCAAAAGTCAAAGTTCAGAAGGACTGTTAAGTGCATCCCATGCAGGGCTTTTTTTGTAGAAAACGCCCAGCATGAACTCATTAGCATAATAGGCCACACCCTGACACCACAGCTCATTAGCATATTAGGCCACGCCCTCATGTTACCAGAAGTGTGGTCATCCAGCAACACCCACCTTTTGCTTCTTATTCTGTTTACCTTGTTTGTGGACAAAACCCAGGGCTTCTTTTGTAGCAGGAACTCCTTTGCATGTTAGGCCACACACCCCTCATGTAGCCAATCCTAATGAGTTTCTGCTGTTGGGTGTGGCCTATTATGCTAATTAGCTCCTGCTGGGCGTGGCCAACTCGGGAGCCAGCCGGAACTCCGTTCCTGTGCGTTCCTGCCCAAAAATAGCCCTGATCCCATGGCAAAAACCACAGTGCTTCCAGAGTGCAAACACCTCAAAACTTTTATAACATCGGCTCATGTTGTTCTGCTTCCAGCCTTAACCGTGACTGTACAAAACCTCCCTTTTGCAGCAAGAGTTCCATCTTCGGTGCCGCGTTCCAAAAGCGAGAATACCACCATGGATGCAGAGAAAGTGGTCAAGAGATCAGCCACTCTCCCCTTGCCGGCGCGTTCCTCATCTCTGAAATCCAGTCCTGAGAGGTAAGGCACTTTTCGAAGAAGGGCCTAGAGCTTCCAGGCCTTACCAGTTTCACAGTCATTATTCTTATTTATTTTGTTAAAAAATTAACCCACTCTTTCTGCCGGTCTGGGACCCACCCGAGGCAGCAACAGGGGGATTAGAGCAGCAACGGCTTGATTTTCTCCATTGTTCTTATCCTTTCCCCCATTATTCGCAGACATCCAGTAACACACTAGGTCTAAGGACAATTACTCGGAAATAAGTCTCATGAATTTAAATGGAAGTTACAACCAAGTAAGCCTGCTTAGTATGCCCCTTTAATGTGCAAACTCCATCACATATTGTGTTTTTCTTTATCACGACAGCCCCCGGGGGGGGGGCTGACCTGGATAATCCAGGCAAGCCCGATCTCTTCAGATCTCGGAAGCTAAGCAGGGCTGACCCTGGCAAGTATTTGGATGGGAGTCCTCCAAGGAATACCAGGGCTGGGAAGCTGAGGCAGGCTGTATCAAGCCACATCTCTGAACGTCCTCCATGCCCCGGAAGGAGTCTTCAGAGGTCGCCAGGACTTCCAGGCATGGGCACACACACACACACGCACGCAAAAATGCTTTCGCTGTTCATCTGGCAAAGTTCGAGATGACTCGTGAAAGCCAGCACAGTCTCTTCGATGCGAAATGGATCGGCGGCCAAAAAGAGTTGATAGAGTGACCCAACATGAATAAATAATAATAATATACTTTATTGTCATTGTACATAGTACAACGAAATTAAAGATGCAATCATTTTGGTGATCTACAACCATGCTCATATACACTCACACAACCATTCACAACCATCCCATAACTCCCTTAAGGTTCACATTGCAACTTAAACCACCATTGTCACCCAAATTCCAATTTCAGACAGCATTTAAAGCAATAATAGCTCTCGAATAAAAACTATTCGAGATTTATAGCCCTGTTTTTAAAAAAATGGGAGAAACCCCCTCCCCCAATCCCTGTGGGGTGTGCCAGATGCAAATCGTTTAGGTTTTACATAACCCGCCTGGACGACATCACGCCAAGCCCTCTCGGGATACGGAACTGAAATAACCAGCCTCTTGAACGGCACCCCAGAGCTACGGCAGCCAGCACTGACTGGACAAGCCACCTCTGTGTTCTTGGCCACTAGGAAAGACCTGGCGATAAAAGCGGGGGCCGATCACGTGCTGTGGGTGTGCGCCTAAAGAGGAGGGTGTTTTGCAGCTCGGAAGTTCCAGCGTGCTTTCATCACGGGACTGCACACTCTCAAAGCGGTAACAAAGTAGGAAAAGAAATCCGCCGTGCAGATCGGCGGACCAGCAAACTTCAGAAGGTAGAGGAGCTCCGTCACGGGCATCTGAGGAGGCCTGGAATGGAGAGGGTAGCCGTGTTGGTCTAGAGTGGAACGGCTCGATTCAAGTCCAGTAGCGCCTTGGAGACCAATGAAATCTTCAGGGTATGAACTCTGGCTCTCAAAAACTTGTATCCGATTAAGGGAGCTTTAACTCTCAAGAGGATCTACGCCAAAAATCTTGTTGGTCTCTAAGAGAAGAAGAGGAGGAGGAGGAGGAGGAGACTGGATTTATACCCCACCCTTCACTACCCAAAGGAGTCTCAGAGTGGCTTACATTCTCCTTTCCCTTCCCCTCCCCACAACAGACACCCTGTGAGAGAGCTGAGGGAGCCGTGGGGCTGAGAGAGCTCTTTTGAGAACTGCCCGTGAGAGGACAGTTCTGAAAGAACTTGTGACTGGCCCAAGGTCACACCAGCAGCTGCATGTGGGGGAGTGGGGAATCAAACCTGGTTCTCCCAGATTAGAGTCCGCCCTCCTAACCACGACACCAAACTGGCTAAGGTACTACTGGGCTTGGATTTAGACTGGATTATCTACTCCTGCAGAAGGAAAGAGTTAGTTTACATGGCAAACTGCTCTGGTAGCAATGAACCTGGATTCTCTTTCCTAGGAATGACTGGGAGCCTCCGGACAAGAAGGTGGACACGCGGAAATACCGTGCAGAGCCCAAAAGCATCTACGAATACCAGCCAGGACGGTCCTCCGTTCTGAACAATGAGAAACTGGTAATATGGATTTTATCCTGTGTGGCGTGTTTATTTTTCTCCTGTGCTGCTGGCTTGCTTTAATGGGGTTCGGCTTGACATTGGAACTTCCAGTCTCGGTTACCTTTAACATCTTAATATCCCCAGTCTCGTAAAGACAGCTGGCAGGACAGCTAAAAAAAGTCTTTTCCCCCTGTGGACGTTCTGTGTGTCGAGTGTGGGTCACTTGCCTAACATGTAAATCTGTGTTTGACATCACAACTTTTTGGTTGGAGGAATCATGTCCTAACACTGCTCAACAAGTTAGAAGCAGCTGCAAAACGTAAATTGTCTGTCTGTCTGGGCTCAGAACCCATCAGTTTTCTAAGTCCAGCAAGAGCAGGAAGCTTCAGGCTTGGTCTTGTCTTTCTGTGCACTCCCCTGCCCTGTGGTGATCATCGCCTGATGCCATGAAGGGGCTTTCGAGAGAGAGTTGTCCTTTCTGGGTGGAGTCACATGAGGCGGGAGGGGGAGGGATTGTGTTCTACATCTCCCTTGCAGCTGTAGCTCAGCGGCAGAGTGCCTGTGTTGCATTTAGAAGGGCTCCGGTCCTACATCTCCCTTGCGGCTCTAGCTCAGCGGCAGAGTGCCTGTGTTGCATTTAGAAGTCCCTGGCATCTCCTGATGACAGCACGCCCTAGCTGAGAGCCTGTGCCAGTCGGAGCAACCCACCAGAAGCCTCACTTTAAAACAGCTCCATGGATTTTAAAGCGCTGTGAAATTCCAAACGTGTTTTTTCATTCTTTAGAAAGATGTCTGCACAGTGAAAGAATGTGTTCGGTTCAGCTTGCGGGGTGCCATTGAATTTCTAGAAGGCGTGTGCGTGTGTGGAAGTTAGGTCTACTGATGAAAATAATGCTGCTTCAGCAGCCACTGCTGCCACCAGTGTTGGTTTTACTCCTCTTTCCCAGCGTATCTTCTCCTCTGCACCTGGACTTCCTCTGAGCGAGTGTATGGATCCGCTTCCCAAAGCAGCCCATTTGTGGCTGCACCCACCACCACCACCCTGGGTCGGAATCTCAAAGGCGCCCACAGGCTTAGAAAGGTTGTGGACCCCTGGTCTACTCAGGGAAAGGTCTCAGGGAGAGGTCTCTCACATTGTATAGAAATATTGATTTCTAAAAATCCATGCCTTCTCCTGTGATGTCTTTCTGATACTCCAGCTACTTCATCGGCTACGTGACTTCTTGCATGTGAGGCAGAGGCAAGAGCCATCAGGTCTGCCTCTTCCACTCAGAGGTGTGAAAGAATGTGTGGTTATAAAGTTTCCCTGGCCAAATGGTCAGGCCATTTGGCTTCAACAGGAAACAAGACACAGCATGTTATCAGAAAGACATCACAGGAGAAGGCATGGATTTTTAGAAATCAATAAGAACATAAGAACATAAGAGAGGCCAATGTTGGATCAGGCCAAAGGCCCATCCAGTCCAACACTCTGTATCATACAGTGGCCAGAAATACCAGGTGCCATCAGGAGGTCCACCGTTCTATACAATGTGAGAGACCTGTCCCTGAAACCACGGAGAGACGACGCCTGTCTGAGTAGACCAGGAGTCCACAACCTTTCTAAGCCTGTGGCCCCTTTGAGATTCCGACCCAGGGTGGTGGTGGTGGGTGCAGCTACAAATGGGCTGAGAGACCTCTCCCTGAGACCTTTCCCTGAGTAGACCAGGGGTCCACAACCTTTCTAAGCCTGTGGGCGCCTTTGAGATTCCGACCCAGGGTGGTGGTGGTGGGTGCAGCCACAAATGGGCTGCTTTGGGAAGCGGATCCATACACTCGCTCAGAGGAAGTCCAGGTGCAGAGGAGAAGATACGCTGGGAAAGAGGAGTAAAACCAACACTGGTGGCAACAGTGGCTGCTGAAGCAGCATTATTTTCATCAGTAGACCTAGAAGGCTGTAAATTTGCTTAGGATCACACCGTGAGTCTACATTGCAAAATATTTCCGTTTTTTCATATCACTGAAGTAGTCGATTATCGAGGGCACTGAGAATTCTTGGTCAGACATTCTGGCTGTACTCAACGCAGCTCCCGTTCTTGGGAAAAGGGAATAGTAGTGGAACCAGTTTTCAGTCTGCAGTACCCAGCCGGAGAACATCCCTTGCAGCTTCCTGATTCAGATAGGGTTGCCGGGTCCAGCCCCCCCCCCAACCACTTGTGGGGGATGGGGAGGCAGGGGGAGGCAGATCCAGGTTGGGGAACTCCTGGAGATTTGGGGGCCCCACCCTCCAGAGCATCCATTTTCTGCAGGGGAACTGGTCTCTGTAGTCTGGAGATGAGCTGTAATTTCGGGGGGATCCCCAGGTCCCCCCTGGAGGCTGGCATCCCCAGATTCAGAGGAGGCCCAGCCTATCAAGCTGTGATTATTTCGTGGCCTCGTTGAACCTTTTCCTCATGTGAGGTTATCAGTATTAAAGTTTTGCTTGTGTTAGGTCTACAGAAGACAGTTTATATGCTTAGAAAACGTAATTTCAGTATACTTTTAATTTTGTTTTGACATAAAGTGTGTGTGTGTGTGTGTGTGTGTGGTCCCTGCATTTTTGTGCGTTTGTGCGCTCAGAGCACACTGTCCTAGCCTGAGTTATGATAGATCGATAATTGAACCTTTTCCTCATGTGAGGTTCTCAGTATTAAAGTTTTGCTTGTGTTAGGTTTACAGAAGACAGTGCATATGTTTAGAAAACGTAATTTCAGTATACTTTAATTTTGTTTTGACATAAAGTATGTGTGTGTGTGTGTGTCGTGCCTGCATTTTTGTGTGTTTGTGCACTCAGAGCACATTGTCCTAGCCTGAGTTATGATAGATCGATACCAGTGGCCTCCTATCGTCTGTGGGGACTGATCTGCCTTCTTCTTGAATTAGAATTCCATCCCTGCCTAGGTTTGCTACCAGAACCGAGGAGTATCCCTGGAGCATTTTCCCCCCCTGGGGGCTGTGGGGTTTCTTACCCAAGCGCCAGGGGGGCATCCAGACGTGTTGAAATTGTCCTTCCTGGTTCGGCTTGCCAGGTCCCTCCCGGCAATTGGCAGGGGATGGAGGGGGACCTACCAGGAGCGGAAGGAAAGCTCAGACTACATCACTGGCGGTGTGGCAACATCACTTCCTGTGTGTACCAGAAATGATGTCATCATGTTGTACCATCACGGTGACACTCTGGTATTTGGGCAGAAACTGTATGGTAAAATGACTCCTACCAGAGTTTTTAAGAACATAAGAACATAAGAGATACCATTGTTGGATCAGGCCAAAGGCCCATCCAGTCCAACACTCTGTGTCACACAGTGGCCAGAAATACCAGGTGCCATCAGGAGGTCCAGCAGTGGGACCAGGTCATTAGAAGCCCTCCCACTGTTGACCCCCCGCCCTAAGCACCAAGAAGACAGAGCATCCCTTGCCCCAGAGTCCCTATCTATACCTTGTGGCTAATAGCCACTGATGGACCTCTGCTCCATATGCTTATCTAATTCCCTTTTGAAGCCGTCCATGCTTGTAGCCGCCACCACTTCCTGTGGCAGTGAATTCCATGTGTTAATCACTCTTTGGGTGAAGAAGGACTTCCTTTTATCCGTTCTAACCCGACCGCTCAGCAGTTTCATGGAGTGCCCACAAGGAGTTCTTGTATTGTGAGAAAGGGAGAAAAGTACTTCTTTCTCTACCTGCTCTTTCCCATGCATAATCTTATAAACCTCAATAATCTTATAAGCCCAAATACTGGGATGTCCCCGTGGTGTTGCCAATGTGACGATGTGTACCAGAAGTGATGTCACTGGGTACGAGGCTTGGGCCTCTCTCCCGCTCCTGGTAATTCCCCTCTGCCAGCCAGCTGATCGGCAGCAAGGGGTGGGGCCTCGTGGCGGGGGATGCCCCGCCTCCAGTGGGGGGGCTGGCAACTGTATTCCTGATATTTTAATTCTGGGATAAAAATCCTATATGCCCAGGAGGTGTGCTAGAGTGCGTGAGCTTGTGTGTGTTCCCGACCAATTCAGCCTCGGTTTTGCAAAACAGAAGCGTTTGGCTTCCAAGCCTGGACCGAACGTGAGGGCAGTGATTCTGCAGGCCCTAAATGGCTCTGGCGATTTTTATGGTGAAAACAGATCTATTCTGTTTTTATTTTATTTGGTTACTTGTAGTCCAGCTTTCTTGCTGAGACTCGAGGCGGATTACGCAGCGTGATCCAGTGGACCCTGCAGGAGGGTTTGGGATACAGAAGTCTGAAAATGTGTTCTGAAAGTCTGGTGAACTTTCGGGGGGGGGGAGCATGTTGGTCTGCGAAAGAACCGCTAGTCCAGTCTCTGACGTGCGTCTGGACTCTAATCTAGCTGGTGAATATGGCTTGTGCTGCCACTGGCTTCCTTTGACGTATTCGTAGTATTTAGTGTCAAGCTGCAATAAACTTCAGTCCTCTGCAATTAAAGGCTTGACCCATTTAAGTACATTTGAATCCATTTATTCCTCGTTCATTGATTCCATATTTTCGCTGTCATTCAGGGCTCCAGGTGGTAGAATAGAGGCATAAAAAAGGAAGGTTTTATTGATTCGGTTTATGTCCGGCCTCGTTTCTCGTCTCTGTTTATAGAGTCCATTTTCATCAGCCATTTTTAGGGGATGCTCTGAGTTAGTGGGGAGAGAGAGAGAGAGAGAGAGAGAGATGATTGAGATATGATTGAGAGATGATTGAGAGATGATTGATAGGTACAGAGAAATAAATGCAAACAATGGGATCGTGATATCCAAATGTCTCTGAAGTTTCTGTGCAAAGCTCAAATGTATACAAGACCATTACGGTAACTGTTCACATTTCTTGATTGTATTCATTTATTTTTTTATTTTTTTTATTAATTCGGCTTCTATACCGCTCCTTGCCGCAGGCTCGGAGCGGTTTACATCGTCGATTTTACAATCCTATCTAGGGCCACAATATACAGGGGAGGTGAGTGCCTACCGGCACCCGGACACTGCAGGGCTCTTGTTGTTTTTCTTTCTCTGCTTCTTCGTAGATTTAAATTGAGATAGTTTTCTTTTTCCAAGTCCTGCTGGTAATTTGAATTTTGCACAGAAGTGTTAGTGAAAGTATTAAAGAGAGAAGCCCTCTGTAAGCATTCTATAAGTATGTACACTTGTATATGCATAGAAGGGAGCAGGATTTTACCCTGCGAGTGTATGCACATTTGGCTGTTCTGTATGCCCAGGAATACTTCAAAAAGCAGAGTCCCCTTTTCACAAAAAGACATGCCGCTGAATGCACAGGTGTTAGATGCTGGGCAAGTGGGTGTGATCCAGCTATGCAATGTCTGCATAAGCCTTGCATAATCCTGCGTTTCATAGCCCTTTGATCTAGTGAGCACCAGCCCGCAAAAGCTTGCGCCTCAGTAAGTCTCCAAGACTCTTTTTTCTGTTTGCCCCAGCAGACTAACAAACTACCCCTTTGGAATCTCTTTTTTGTTTTGTTTTGTTACTTTTGTCTGAACACTTAAGCATTGACTTGTGTATTGAGTGCTGGTGACCTAACAAAGCATAGAGTCTCCGTATCCATCCTCCGTCGAGACCACATGCTTGGCGGCTTGCCCTTTCCAACTGTGTCCTCTTTAGTTGAGAATCCCGCCCTTCCTTCTGTTTGCTGTTTTATGGAGCAGGGTTTCTCACATACCCATGTGCTGTTAAAGATGCTGTCTTCTGCAGGGAACGTGTAACTGTGGGGCTGTCAGGAGGGCAGGGAAGAGTCCAAACAAAACCTTCTTGGAGAATGGCTTTCTGCAACTGGAGAGCCAGCGGTCTTGAATTGGCTAGACTTCGGTCACATCTTATATTTGTTCAAAGAACACGTGTATGCCATTGTCTGGCTATGTGTTCTGCTTTTCACAGAGTCCAGGCGAACTGTCATTTCAGTAACTCTCTTTCCAGTGGGTCTGTTGCCCTTAGTGAGGCGGAGAGGGTCCTGCACTGATTCAGCACTTACTGTATGTTTTTGCTGCACTCTCAAACACGCCACAGTCCTTGCTGCCCGTCAGGCCGTCATTCATGCTCTGTCCTTACTTGGAAGGGTAGAGCTGACCAGAGGTCGTTTCGTAGAAAAAGAGCTAGGGGAACTCATTAGCATATGCCACACCCCCTGACATCATAAGGCCCGGCGGTGGACCTGCAAGGCCAGCGGGAGTGCGAGGAAGCCCCGCAAAGGCCCTCCCTGGCCCCAGGCAGGCATAGCTAGCAATCCAAAACAGTCCAGTGGAGCCTGAGCGGTGGTTGTTGCCTTCTCACACACTTCCTGTGATGTCAGGGGGTGTGGCATATGCAAATAAGTTATGCTAATGAGTTATGCTAATGAGATCCTGCACCTCTTTTTCTACAAAATGACCCCTGGAGCTGACCATCTGCTGCCACACTAGAAACAGAAAAGGAAGCGGCCCAGAGCTAGGGTTACCAACCTCCAGGTGGGGCCAGAATTATGGCTGATCTTCAGACCGCAGAGATCGGTTCCCCCGGAGAAAGTGGCGGCTTCAGAGGACAGACTCTAAGCTGAGTTCCCTCTGCTTCTCGAACTCTACCCTCCCCAAGTTCCACCCCAAAATCTCCAGGGATTTCCCAACCAGGAGTTGGCAACCATATGAGAGGTCAGCAGCCTGCCTTGGGTGTGCATGGAGACTATGCCCTCAGCGACCACCCACGGAGTCTCCATGTCCCGTTCATCCCTAGCAGTGACTTCAGCCATGGAATAAAAGAAGGGCTGCACCGCTTGGGACATAAATGGACAAGGTGGGCTTCGGGCTTATCCCTTCCTCCGCTGGGCGTTCTACCCACATTGCTGTCACAGAGGGCAAGCCTTTACTTCCTTCCAGTGAATGGCTGGTGCTCAGAGAGATGAAAAGGGTACCTTTGGGCTCACCACTGAGATGGGGGCTCAACGTACCCGGTGCCTCTTTCTCGCTCTGTGCACATTGCACAGATACTCACTGGCTGTGATCACACGCGCCTTTAGATCCGACGTAGGCATGAATGCCCGACGGATCTAAAAGGAGCGATCAGACGGCAACGTCTGGGAAGCGTCCCGCAGTCGTCAACCTGTGCTGCTCCGCGTCAGAAGCAGAGTTAAAAGACACTGGGGAGAGTCCACGGACAGACTTTCCCCTTTCTCATTGCTCAAGCATGCGCTCAAGCTGTCGGGATGGTCTGATCAGGGTGAGATTATTTGCATATGCGGCCTGATTGGCCTTTGCCTCTAACATTCTAAACAGTTTGTTGCTGCTGTGGGGAGTCATTGAATGTGTCCCAATCTTCCTTTAAATGGTCACTGGAGTTGCCAATCTCCCTGTGGGGCCTGGAGATCTCCCAGAAATTCCCCAGCCACAGCACATCATTTCCCCTACAGAAAATTTCCCAGCTATTTCCCCCTCCCCTTCGTAGTATGTGCATCATCGCATAGTCCATAGTGGGCTCTCGGTGCGGAGGTGCAATTCCTCCTTTATGTGCATCAAAAACAAAGAGCCAAAAAACCCCCACTAACCCGTAGTTGTGTCTGATCACACTGTGACGGGCTGCGCCTGCAGCTACAAAGGAAAGTGTGATCTTGCAACAGCGGGTCAAATTCCTCGGGAGGGAACAGCCTCGCTTCCACTCCACGTCAACTGGCAGGTGTGACCGCAGCCACTGTATCCTTCTTTCTCAAAAATTCCCCTTGTATTCCCCTAAGTATGGCTGGCACCACTGTTCCCTCTAAGCTGAGTTGGTGTGAGCTAACTCACATTTTTTTAGCCTCCAGCTCACACATTTTTGTCTTAGCTCAGGAAGAATGGCTCCAGAGCAAATGAATTTATGCAGTAGCCAAATTGCTCACTCACCACTTTAGTGCCAGTAGCTCACAAAGTGGAATTTTTGCTCACAAGACTCCACAGCGTAGAGGGAACATTGGCCTGGATCCCTGTCCCTTGAAGGGTCTACTCACCCCCTGCCCATGAAGCACCCACAGGCCAGAAATGGGAGGGAACCACAGAATTTCACCACTTGATTTTAATTAATGAATTATATGTCCTGATGATGGTTTTGTGGTTTTATTGTTTTTAAATCTCTACATCGCCTTGAGCCCCACCTTCATGGGGATTAGGCGATTCAGAAATGCAATTAAATAAAAATAAAATAAATAAATTTATGCTAATATTTCTATCCTAGGCCCTGAATTATCTGTGCTCATCTCTCTATATAATAATCCTGTTTTGGCGGTGGCACTCTCCAGAACATTCCACACGCTCCCTAATCAGTTGGCTCCCTGGCCGGTCACTCAGAATCTGTCCCTATCCACTGGCTGCGTTGCCTGAGTCTTGCCTCCAATATTCTAAACAGTTTGCTGTTCCTCTCCCCCCAGTAGCCAGTCGGAACACAGAGATCATTTGCATATGCGGCCTGATTGGCCTTTGCCTCTAACATTCTAAACAGTTTGTTGCTGCTGTGGGGAGTCATTGAATGTGTCCCAATCTTCCTTTAAATGGTCACTGGAGTTGCCAATCTCCCTGTGGGGCCTGGAGATCTCCCAGAAATTCCCCAGCCACAGCACATCATTTCCCCTACAGAAAATTTCCCAGCTATTACAATGGCTGCTTTGGGCAGTGGACTCTGTGGCACTATACCCTGCTGAAGTCCCTCCGCACCCCAAACCCTGCCCTCCCCAGGCTCTACCCCTCAGATCTATAGGTCTGGCCCTCCCCTTAGTATTGCCAGCCTCCAGGCAGCACCTGGAGATCTCCAAGATCTCCAAGATCCTGGAGATAATGGCTGCTTTGGGCAATGGACTCTGTGGAATTATATGTCAACAGGGAATGTGCACGGGAGATACTTTATTGCTGTCAGTTTCCGGCGGGTGGCCGCGTCGGTTTGCAGTTGAACAGCTAGATGCAAGTCCAGGAGCACTTTAGGAGAACAAGATTTTCGGGGTAGAAGCTATTGGGAATCCCTCCTTGTATCTGATGAAGGGAGTTTTGATTCTCGAAAGCTGACACCCTGAATATCTCTTTGGTCTCTGCAGGGCTATTGAACTGGAATCTAGCTGGGGGGTTTTCTGTTGAAAACTGGCGGTCCCCCAGCACATAAACACATGGACAGTTGAAAGGGCCTCTAATGTAGAAAGGGCCTCTAATTACCCCAGAGTAATTCACTGCTTACTTTTTTGAGTTGGTGGCAGTCCACTGGAAACAACACAGAAATGTATCATTGGGAAAACCTTTACATTTCTCTAAAATTCCGTGTCTCCATCTGTGGTGTTGAAACGGAGCTTTCCTAGCAGGTGTGTTCTCACTCCGGCTGTTCTCTGAATGCCGATAAGGCCTTGGGGGTGGGTATGCAGAACGCAGCATCTTTAACAGTCCTTTCCTATGTATTCTTTGCATAATGTTGTCCTTCTCTTTCTTCCATTCTTGTACTGCCACTTCCTGTAGACTCTGGATATAAGCACAGAAGAGATAGATTTAAAGAATGAGCCTTGGTATAAATTCTTTTCGGAATTGGAGTTTGGGAAGCCGGTAAGTTTGAGAGCCGCAACCCGCAATAAACAAGCCTTCCTCGCCACACACACACTCTGCTGTGCCCCCCCCCCCCATTTCTGAATAAATGGCTGCGATCATAAGACATGACAAGAAACCTTGTCCAGGATTTTCTTAAAGCGGCGGGAGAAGGTTTTTATTTGGAGAGCCAGCCGCTGAGACGTGGCTAGTGTTTCATGGCCACTTCTAGATGACAATCCCTGCAGTTCATTGGAAACCTCTGGACCGATGAAGACAGTCCCAGGTGGAGGGCCATGTTGGTCTTACGGCAGCAGAGCCAGATCTGAGTCTAGGAGCACCTTACAGACAAACCAGATATCCTGGGTATCAGTTCTAGAGAGTCTTACGAAGAGAACTCTGGCCCTTTCCATGTTCACCGCGTTGTCCTCCAAGCAATTCTGCACTTAAATTGAATTCAACCTTCTTTTTAATCCAGGTTTTTCCCCCCATTCTGCACTAAAATT